TCATTGTCCAGCTTTCACGTGCACGTGAGGTAATTGAAGCCCAGGCTGTAGTATTGCTTAAAAGCTCCTCATGAGTTTATTGAGTTTTTTTGTTTTTAATAATTTGTTTTACTTTATTTTTGTTGTTGAGCATATATACAGCAAAGCATACACCAACAGTTTCTATGTGTACAGTTCACTGCATTGATTACTTTCTTCGAGTTGTGCAACCATTCTCGACTTCCTTTTCCATTAACATAAACTCACTTTCTGCTAAGGTTCTTGTCTAACCTTTGAGGTAATGTTGTCTATTTGATCCTATGGAGAGAGATCGTAAAAGAACATAATGCTCCAGGCAGACTTTCTTTACTCTTGAATCTGTTAGGTGCCTTGGAGTCAGTTCTGACCCATGGCAACCTGTCATACAACAGAATGAAACCTTGCCTGTCCTGCACCATCCTTACAGCCATTGCCGTGCTTGAGCCCACGGTTGCAGCCATTGTCTCAGTCCATTTCGTTGAGGGTCTTCCCCTTTTTGCTGACCCTCTGCTTTATCAAGCATGGTGTCTTTCTTCAGGGATTGGCTCCTTCTGACAACCTGTTGTTTGGTTTTAAGAAGACTCTCATTCATTTCTGAGGGCAATTTAAAGTACAGGTAGTCCCCAGCTTATGACAGGGTTCTGTTCTGAGGACTCCGCTCTAAGTCGATTCTGACATAAGTTGAATACCTCTTTTTTTTTTTTGTTTTGTTTTTGTTTTTGTTATTACTGCCTTTTATTATCACTATATTTGTCTTTGAGAGTTGGAAACATTACATGTAAGTTTACAAACATATTTTAACACATATATACATAAAAAACACAAATCATAAAAATTTATTGCAACAATGAATGTTAACAATGTTAAACAATGTGAAAATGTTATTATTTTGTTACTTGCAGTAAAAGCTCTACTTGTGGAAAGTTCTGGGTCATCTCAATTATCCCTGGGCTAACAGGGGTGGCATTTCCAGTCAGAAGAGTAGTGAGTGTTGTGTGTGTGGTCCTTTTCCTTGTTTCTTCATAAATTTTTTCATAACATCTCTGCTTCCTGAACTGCCTATTAACTTTGTTAGCAAAGTGCTCAGCATTTGAGTCCTATTTTCAAGCAACTGAAGCCCCAATTTAGGTTTGAAAAGTAAAGCTATATGGCATAGAGTTGAACATCTGTAAGTGAACATCTAAGAGTAATAACATCAGCAAATTATGTACTATAAAACTGCATGTAGTACATATTACTAATAATAAGATGTACAGAAAATAAAAACAAGAGTCTAAAGTGTAGTTTGTCGTAACTCAAGTGCGATGTAAGCTGGGGACCACTGTAGTATGTTAGAAGAATGAAACAGCTCAATCAGTACAGTACATGAACATCCTTTTTTTCTAGTGCAAACTCAGTAAAGTATGCACATACCTTTTTTGCTCATGTATTGACAACCATGTTTTATAGACCAATGTGCGTTAGTCAAGAAAACTTATTAGAAACTTATTAGTACTAAATACTTTTTTTTTGTTGTTAACTACAGAAGAAAATGATTAACAGCTGTTCAGCAGAAATTTTGACTCAATATTTCCTTTAAAATGATTATGAAAAATGTATTTTAAGCTCCAGCACTAGTAGCAAAGTTCAACAAGACAGAAAATAACAAATGCTGGCGAGGTTGTGGAGAGATTGGGACTCTCATACACTGCTGGTGGGGCTGTAAAATGGTACAACCATTGTGGAAAGCAGTATGGTGATTCCTTCAAAAGTTGGAATTAGAAATACCATTTGACCCAGCCATTCCATTACT